TGGCCCCACTTGCACTCTGTATATAGCGGGTAGTATGGCCCCACTTGCACTCTGTATATAGCGGGTAGCTTTCAAACCTCATTATGAATGATTAAAATGTACGCATCATGTGACAATGGCGCTGTGACATTGTTAACTGTTAGTAAACTACAACTACAACTTGCCAACACTTGGAAATGTTCTCATGATATATAATGCTATTTTTAATAATTTATTATCATATTTTTAAGAATGAATTGTGAAGAATTCTTGATTTTCAGAAAATAAGATAACTATAATATAACCTTGTATAGGAGGAACTTTATACCATAGAACAGGCTAGGATCGGAGGTAGAATTGTATGGGAGATTATTACGTTTCCAGATAATCTGTACCTGGAGGTATTGTTGCCTCCCTGACCCCATTAGTCCAGATTTTAAAAGTAAATTAAAACTAAAATCGAATTACATGAAGTAGTATTGGTGCGAAGAAGAAAAGAAATCCTCCTTTTCAAGGATCATTACAGGTCCTCTGATCGTATTAAGTACTTATACTGGTAATATTTGGTCCCCCCGGCCCCCCAGCCCCAAAATAATAGAGTACACGCGTGAGCCTTGATAATGAACTTTGTTAGGTCTACGTCTTTTAATCGTGCAGGAAGAATGAACAGTAAATATTTAACATTAAGTTTAATGTTTTACGACTAAAATGTCAAATAATTTTGTCAAGTTTTCTACATAGTTGTGTTAAATCTAATTTTAATATTATATCTGACATCTTTCAACTCATATAAACGTATAAACAAATCCTTTGGGAAACAGAACACAAATTCCTCATCATACGAGTAAAATCTACCTGTAAATCAATAATTTGATTCATTCCTGCAAATGGTAGCCTAGCAACCATTCACCCATTTAAAAGTTCCTGTTATAACAAGCGAGTGTTGGAAATTAATTGATTATAGGGGGGGGGGTGACACACTGACACCCCCTTATATGGGGGGGGGGGGGGGGTGACACATTGATACCCCCTCCCCCATTACTGTACTGACTACTGAGTTATAGTATATAATATGCCCCCCGGCCCCCCCCCCCCCCCCTCCCTCTAGCTCTATAGTATATAATAGTGTGCAGTTCATTCGGGAGAATTAAAAAAGTGGTATTTAAAGACAGGAAAATAGGATAAAATATCGAGAAATGTAGCAATATAATTCCAATCGGACTTAACGACTTATTTTCGCGCGGAAAATTGACTAAAATAAGTTTCTGACAAATAATATTATAACGTAGTCTGGTATAGTCTGGTATAGTCTGGTATAGTCTGGTATTGTCTGGTATAGTCTGGTATAGTCTGGTATAGTCTGGTAAAGTCTGGTATTGTCTGGTATAGTCTGGTATAGTCTGGTATAGTCTGGTAAAGTCTGGTAAAGTCTGGTATAGTCTGGTATAGTCTGGTATAGTCTGGTAAAGTCTGGTATAGTCTGGTATAGTCTGGTATAGTCTGGTAAAGTCTGGTATAGTCTCGTATTGTCTGGTAAAGTCTGGTATAGTCTGGTATAGTCTGGTATAGTCTGGTATAGTCTGGTATAGTCTGGTAAAGTCTGGTATTGTCTGGTATAGTCTGGTATAGTCTGGTATTGTCTGGTATAGTCTGGTATAGTCTGGTATAGTCTGGTAAAGTCTGGTATTGTCTGGTATAGTCTGGTATAGTCTGGTATAGTCTGGTAAAGTCTGGTAAAGTCTGGTATAGTCTGGTATAGTCTGGTATAGTCTGGTAAAGTCTGGTATAGTCTGGTATAGTCTGGTATAGTCTGGTAAAGTCTGGTATAGTCTCGTATTGTCTGGTAAAGTCTGGTATAGTCTGGTATAGTCTGGTATAGTCTGGTATTGTCTGGTATAGTCTGGTATAGTCTGGTATAGTCTGGTAAAGTCTGGTATTGTCTGGTATAGTCTGGTATAGTCTGGTATAGTCTGGTAAAGTCTGGTAAAGTCTGGTATAGTCTGGTATAGTCTGGTATAGTCTGGTAAAGTCTGGTATAGTCTGGTATAGTCTGGTATAGTCTGGTAAAGTCTGGTATAGTCTCGTATTGTCTGGTAAAGTCTGGTATAGTCTGGTAAAGTCTGGTATAGTCTGGTATAGTCTGGTATAGTCTGGTATTGTCTGGTATAGTCTGGTATAGTCTGGTATAGTCTCGTATTGTCTGGTAAAGTCTGGTATAGTCTGGTAAAGTCTGGTATAGTCTGGTATAGTCTGGTATAGTCTGGTATAGTCTGGTATAGTCTGGTAAAGTCTGGTATAGTCTGGTATAGTCTGGTATAGTCTGGTATAGTCTGGTATAGTCTGGTATAGTCTGGTATAGTCTGGTATAGTCTGGTATACCTTACTCGGGAATATTATAGCGGGTTAATTTATGACTGGGAAAATTAATGACCGGGAAAAATATGGCGGACTTTCCCAAAACCCGCCAAATTACCCCGGTCATGTATTTACCGGTGGCCGACCTTTCAAGTTTTTTTTCAGAGGTCAACAAATTTTCAACCGAAATTTCTGTTTTTGTTACTTGTTAAAGAAGTTATTTCAATTTACAGTTATTGATATTACTCAGAAATAGAAAAAAAAGACACGTCTATTTAAAGGAAAATAAATCTAAGCAATAATAAGTCAAATCTTCATTAAAGCGTATTCTCATTCTCATTATCGCTAATGTCCCCGCCATTATCATTATTGATATCCCCCTGAGCTGCTGACCGTCAAATTCGAAGTTGTATTGTTGTCTTAACAAGACTTTCATTTTGTCCGCTAATGGGGCTACTGCTCTGAAGGTCAGCCGAAGCTTAATTTCCTACCCACCGCTTGGTATTGGGGAACGTCTTGGCTTTGCATCTTCAACTGCTCCAGTAATCAACCCACCGTGGACCATGAAATAGTGGCAAAGTTTACTCATTTCTAGCGGGATGTGGCCACAAGTTACTTTAACGGGAAAAACTCCCTCTTTCTTTAGTCTACACACTGCACACGAGAAGCAATCAATCTTTAGAGACATTATTATTATAATATATATATATTATTGATATAGCTTCTCTACGATTCACTGATTCATGGGCAAGAGAAGTGAGAATCACGGTCCACCCTGAAATCTGATTTCTATAACCAAATTGTGATTTTTATAACGAAATTATGGTAGCAACCGCCAATAAAGTTACAGCCCTCCATCCACTGCTTCAAAAGTCTTCTCTAGCACATATGAGACTTCAGGTAAAATATGATGATCACCACCCCCTTGGAACCCCATAATCTGAGTCGGCGGGTTTTTTATGACTGGTAAAATTTTTGACCGGGAAAAATATGGCTGAATCTTCCAAAACCCACCACTTTATCCCGGTTATAATATTCCCGAGTAAGGTAGTCTGATATAGTCTGAGTACTGAGAGTACTTAGTACTAAGTACTAAGTACTGAGTCTGAGAATGCTAGCTAGTACTGTGAGTATTGTTGTTTAGTGAGCAAGTATAATAAGTACTAGGTACTAAGTACTGTTGTTTAGTGAGCAAGTATAATAAGTACTAGGTACTAAGTATTGTTGTTTAGTGAGCAAGTATAATAAGTACTGGGTACTAAGTATTGTTGGTTAGTGAGCTGGATAATAAGTACTAGGTACTAAGTACTGTTGTTTAGTGAGCAAGTATAATAAGTACTAGGTACTAAGTACTGTTGATTAGTGAGCTGGGTACTAAGTACTAAGTACTAAGTACTGTTGATTAGTGAGCTGGGTAATCGCTAATAACTTTCACGCTATTTCTGTGCTAGCCAAACAGTTTAATCAACCAATTTACATGTAGTTCGTATGTTCTCTTATAAACTTATAAAGAAGAAGAGGGGGGAGAAGAAGCTAAGAAGGGAGGGGGGGGCAATGGAATAAAGTGCCATAAAATGGCGAATATTGTTATGGATAAAATGGAAAAACCTTTGGGTAATTCTCCATTTTATGCCATTAGTAAATGTAAAACAGATTAAATGACTCCGTAAATGTGGTGATGTAGAGTAATAACTACGCAGTGTAGAAGTCGTTAGTAAGTTGTAAGGTACAGCGTCCCATATCTAGTATGTAATGTAGATTGTAGAACTAGATGCACTAGAAGCAGATATCAGGATACTGACACATCATATCTTATTATAAAGATATAGTTAGAATATAATCACTATTTCGCGTAGTTATTCAAGGAATTGAATAAAAGGAATTGGGAATAGTTTCCTCGCGATTAAATCTAGAATGTTAGCTTAAAACTATAAAGTCGGCGTGTTAAAACTACTACTATAACAGATAAGAAGAGGAGATGATATCATTTTTAGAGAACAAAGTATTTTAGAAAACAAAGTATTTTTCAGAGAACAAAGTATTTTTTAGAGAACAAAGTATATTTAGAGAACAAAGTATTTATAATCATCGACAAGCTCTATTATATACATTTTAATCGTTTTAATGAGATCTAATCTTGTATGAGTTTTGAGTTTGAATTGATAACACTTATTATATATATTATTTTTTGAGTAAACATTGGCTGGTACTTCGGGCCGGTCCCCAACAAAAAATCAGTTTAAAGCTTATTTAATAGTTAAACTCTTAAAGATGCAAACTAAACATAAAACTATAAATGCAAGCTATACAGCAAACAGGGGATAAAGAGCTGCTACCATTGCCCCTCTATATAACACAACTATAATAGAAACCCTAAATTGAAGAGAGCAGAGATATTGTAGTGAGCATTAAATGTACGTCATGATGGGTCCGGACTCTAGCGTCCCGGTCATGATGTTGAAACATAAAATAAACAGATTTAAAATATACATTTTAAGACATCATATGACTACACTAAGGCAAAATAATATTGCATTTTCAAAACTAATCGCCGGGTAAACAAATAATAAAAATCACACTGTCGCTAGATTTCGGCTGGTGCGGAGTTTTGTGTAACTATAGTAACTATAGTAACTAAAGTAACTTGTGTAACTATGATAACTTACCAGACGAATCAGGCACATTTTCAGGCTGCAGTCCTCTCTGAGCTAGAAACTCCAGACAACTGTTCACATTCTCGTCCTGCAGAAGTGAGCTTAGTCAGGGCTACATTTCAGAAGTGAGCTTAGTCAGGGCTACATTTCAGAAGTGAGCTTAGTCAGGGCTACATTTCAGAAGTGAGCTTAGTCAGGGCTACATTCAGAAGTAAGCTTAGTCAGGGCTACATTTCAGAAGTGAGCTTAGTCAGGGCTACATTCAGAAGTAAGCTTAGTCAGGGCTACATTTCAGAAGTGAGCTTTGTCAGAGCTACATTTCAGAAGTGAGCTTAGTCAGGGCTACATTTCAGAAGTGAGCTTAGTCAGGGCTACATTTCAGAAGTGAGCTTAGTCAGGACTACATTTCAGAAGTGAGCTTAGTCAGGACTACATTTCAGAAGTAAGCTTAGTCAGGGCTACATTTCAGAAGTGAGCTTAGTCAGGGCTACATTTCAGAAGTGAGCTTAGTCAGGGCTACATTTCAGAAGTGAGCTTAGTCAGGAATACATTTCAGAAGTAAGCTTAGTCAGGACTACATTTCAGAAGTGAGCTTTGTCAGAGCTACATTTCAGAAGTGAGCTTTGTCAGGACTACATTTCAGAAGTGAGCTTAGTCAGGACTACATTTCAGAAGTGAGCTTTGTCAGAGCTACCTGCTACATTTCAGAAGTAAGCTTTGTCAGGGCTACATTTCAGAAGTGAGCTTAGTCAGGGCTACATTTCAGAAGTGAGCTTAGTCAGGGCTACATTTCAGAAGTGAGCTTAGTCAGGGCTACATTTCAGAAGTGAGCTTAGTCAGGGCTACATTTCAGAAGTGAGCTTAGTCAGGGCTACATTTCAGAGGTGAGCTTAGTCAGGACTACATTTCAGAAGTAAGCTTAGTCAGGACTACATTTCAGAAGTGAGCTTAGTCAGGACTATATTTCAGAAGTAGGCTTAGTCAGGACTACATTTCAGAAGTGAGCTTAGTCAGGGCTACATTTCAGAAGTGAGCTTAGTCAGGGCTACATTTCAGAAGTAAGCTTAGTCAGGGCTACATTTCAGAAGTGAGCTTAGTCAGGGCTACATTTCAGAAGTGAGCTTAGTCAGGGCTACATTTCAGAAGTAAGCTTAGTCAGGGCTACATTTCAGAAGCGAGCTTAGTCAGAGCTACATTTCAGAAGTAAGCTTAGTCAGGACTACATTTCAGAAGTGTTCTTTGTCAGAGCTACATTTCAGAAGTGAGCTTTGTCAGGACTACATTTCAGAAGTGAGCTTAGTCAGGACTACATTTCAGAAGTGAGCTTTGTCAGAGCTACCTGCTACATTTCAGAAGTAAGCTTTGTCAGGGCTACATTTCAGAAGTGAGCTTAGTCAGGGCTACATTTCAGAAGTGAGCTTAGTCAGGGCTACATTTCAGAAGTGAGCTTAGTCAGGGCTACATTTCAGAGGTGAGCTTAGTCAGGACTACGAATACTGGAATGAAATAAGCGAAATCCTAACCAAGTGCAAATATCAAGAACCTAAAAACGTTACAAACTCCGCCAAGGACGAGTTAAAAGCACTTTCATTAAATATACGATCACTAGCAAAAAACATAACATATCTCAGAGAAGAAATCCACACCTTCTCAAAATGCGATGTATTATGCTTTAATGAAACTAACTGTAACATTGATAAGCTGCCTAATGGTATTGATGATATCATGATCGAGGGTTTTCACGAACCTGTTATACAAGCACCTTTGAGGAAATCGGGGAGAGGAGGTGGATTAGCAATTTATATAAACAAACGCGTGTGCGATTTCGAGAAAATTGAACGTATTGACTTAGCTCTGGATCCTGAAGATATGAGTGGCGAGTTTCAACTAGTCAAAATTCATAACTGCAAAGGTCTTAACAAAACGAAGGTAATAGTAAATTTCTACAGATCACCGTCAAGAGATACTAATAATTTCATTAGCTTACTCGATCACGTACTCAATAGACTAGATAGACACTCACGCAAACACGTTATGTTTCATGGCGATGCAAATATTGATCTTATCAAATATGACACTGATTCCTCAAGCCAGAACCTCATTGATACACTGGCAAAATATGGTTTTGCTCAAACAGTTTCCAAACCAACACGAGTCACTGACCACAGTGCCACCCTTATTGACCATGTTTACACAAATAATATTGAAAACACATTAAGTAGTAACGTTCTAACACTCGACATCTCTGATCATCTTGCAACACTAACCACTATAAAGCTACGTGCAGTATCACAAAAGCACACCACACACTCGAATAGGACCAATACCACAAAATATCGTCAAACACGTACTATTAATGAAGCCAACAATGTCATCTTCAAGGAGCTATTGGAAGGGGAGACGTGGGAGGAAGCGCGGGAATCAGGCTGTGCAAATGAACAGTATGATAAATTCTCAGAAATCTACATGAAACATTACAACACTGCATACCCCGTTAAGAGCAATCGTAGTCGTCGCGAAAATGAACGGTCTGATCCGAAGCCGTGGATACTTCCATGGCTCGAAACGGCCTGCTCTCGTAAACAGCAGTTATATCATCTGAATATCACTGAGCCTACTTATGAAAACATAGCCGCATACGATAAAATGAAATTATTTTGCAGTAAACACGTTAATCTTGCCAAGGAGCGATATTACAAAAAACAATTTGAAAAATATCAGGACTGTTCCAAAAAACAATGGGAGATAATCAACGGCCTGCTAAACAGAAAAAGACGGGGATCTGATCAGATTAGATTGAGGGATACTGACGGGACGATCCTGAGTACTAACTCGGCTGTCGCTGAAAAGTTTAATGGCTACTTTTCCAGCATCGCAGCCAACATCAAGTCTCAGATCAGTTCCCGACAGACCTTCGATCCTGGGGGGTTCCAGGACTATCTGACCGGGTCATGTCCAACGTCTATCTACCTTGAACCTGCGACACCTACCGAGATACATAGAATTATTATTGGCCTCAAAAATAAGGCAACTCTCGATTCAAAAATTGAGCCTTTGAAAGTAGCTAGCACATGCCAAAATTTTGTATGTACCTTTGCATCAGTAGTCAACACATCTTTTGCAGAGGGAACTTTCCCTAAAGCTCTGAAAACCGCAAAAGTTACACCTATACACAAAGGAGGTTCCAAACTCGACGTAGCAAATTATAGACCTATCTCGCTTTTGGGCTCGTTCTCTAAAATTTACGAAAAACTCATGCACAGGCGGGTACTAGAATTTCTCGACAAGAATAACTCACTATTCGAGAATCAATACGGATTCCGACCAGGAAGATCATGCGAGCATGCGCTTCTCAATGCTCAGAGCTCCTTTCTGCATTCCCTAAATAAGAACCAAATAACACTACTATTACTTTTAGACTATAGTAAGGCATTTGACGTCCTAGATCACGCGACATTACTCAGGAAACTTGAGCATTACGGTATTCGCGGCATTGCCTTGAAATGGTTCGAGTCATACCTTAATGGCCGCAGTCAATTTGTCTCCTTGAACGGCTCCAATTCATCATTAGAATCTATGGTATACGGTGTTCCACAAGGTAGCATATTAGGCCCCCTGCTTTTCGTTATATATATCAATGACTTACCAGGAATCAGTAACTTAGCTAAATTTATATTATACGCAGACGACGCAAATATAATTATTACCGGATCAAATATACAAGAAATTGAATCCAAAATCGACCACCTCACTGATCTGTTGATAAAATGGGTTTACTCAAACGGCTTAGCTCTTAATTTAAAGAAGACTTGCTATATGGTATTTTCAAAAAGACGGGTAGACTTATCGTCTCTACAGGTAAGAATTGACAACACTCCTATTGAACGCAAAACGGAGGCCAGATTTTTAGGAGTTATTGTCGACGACAAACTAAACTGGGCCAGCCACATTCGTGCTGTCAAAACAAAAATGTCACGGTTTATAGGTGTTATGTTCAAAATAAAACGCAAATTACCAATCAAAGCACGCTTACAGATTTTCCAAAGTTTTGTACAATCTCACTTAAATTTCTGTTCGCTCGTTTGGGGTTTTGCTGCAAAATCTCACATTGACTCACTGTTCACTAAACAAAAACAGGGAATACGAGCAGTTATGCCGGGTTACGTGAATTACTATTACAAAGATGGTAAACTTCCGGATCATACTAAAGCTACGTTTAAAGAGTATGAAATATTAACTGTACACGGGGTAATCATAAAAAACGCTCTGACTCTGATGCACAAGTTAAATTACATGCCTGGCCTTCTGCCGTCGTCGATAAAAGACTTATTTCCTCCCGATTTACCAAAGTATGGCACGTCTTATGACGACAATATCGACTGGCTAACAACGTACTCTCAACCAGATCTACGCGCTAGTGTTCTGTATAAAGGTCCTATATTAGCTATTACCGAGCACAACATTAGTCGCATAACTTGCCCATCTAGCATTTTCTCAATAAGCATTTATAAGAAATCAGCAAAGCGTGTAATGATAGAACTACAAAGCTCAGGAAACGATGAAGAATGGCCAACTTTTCTGTTACATAATTTACCCGGGCTACGTAAATCAGCAAGATCAGGCACTCAACAAATCAACTACCGTGAATAATAGCAACCTAACATATGCAGCTCAACTTTCACTATTATATACCATCTAAATCACTTATCGTGCCATCCCGACAGCACATTCCATATTTCACTGCCAACTAGCGCAAACCTATACTGATAAAACACCTACGACAGTATTATCAAGTAAAGAATTTTATATAAACGTTTAAGCTTTTAAATGTGTTTGCAGATCAGGGTCATTAGAATCAACTGATAAAATCTAGACGAAATAACTATGAGTTTGATGGTATGTAATTTGCGTGCCCTTCGGGGATTAATATTGATTATTACAATTATTATATATTTTGAGTAAACATTGACTGGTGTAAAAGCCAGCCCCAAACAAACAAACATTTCAGAAGTAAGCTTAGTCAGGACTACATTTCAGAAGTGAGCTTAGTCAGGACTATATTTCAGAAGTAGGCTTAGTCAGGACTACATTTCAGAAGTGAGCTTAGTCAGGGCTACATTTCAGAAGTGAGCTTAGTCAGGGCTACATTTCAGAAGTAAGCTTAGTCAGAGCTACATTTCAGAAGTGAGCTTAGTCAGGGCTACATTTCAGAAGTGAGCTTTGTCAGGACTACATTTCAGAAGTGAGCTTAGTCAGGGCTACATTCAGAAGTAAGCTTAGTCAGGACTACATTTCAGAAGTAAGCTTAGTCAGGGCTACATTTCAGAAGTGAGCTTTGTCAGGGCTAACTGAGTGCGGGATTATTTTGGATGGATCCAAAAGATGCTTCAAGAAAAGAGGAAGAAACCAAATAGCAGGATATTTTCTCTGCACACCAGATAATATAAACCCATTAGTTTCCTTCATTAGTTTGCTACTGATCAGGGTAAAGTTATTTTGGTAATATTGAGTACTGTGAGTGCTGCATGTTACACGCTGAACCTACTTCTCCTCAACAGTAAAGCCTGCTCCAGCTATTATTATATAATAGTGTTAAAGTGTGGACATAGGGGTGGGCACGAAAATGCAAATTTTCCAAAATTTTAAACGGCCCTGTTTTTTGGGTGAAATGAAAATATAACTTGGTTTTGGGATCAAAAAGGCCCATTTAAAAAATATCCTGCCCCGTTTTCAGGGAGGTGTATTTTCCGGTGGCTCCTGATACAAGGAGATTATTAAAGAAACAGGGAGGTGTACTTTCCAGTGGCGCCGGGGATCCAATATCAAGATATATAACAGGCTTTTAGAGGCAAGGGTGGAGGGGCCGGGGGACAGTTTGATTATAGGGTGTAGACTGTAGAAGGGTAACAGATACCAGGTGAAGTGATCCTGTAATTAGGGTAATTAGGGGGACTGTACCAAGATCTGGGAAGTTGAGCATTATTAACTATTTGTACAGCTTAGACGTAAGATAGCATGTATCTCCCCCGCCCCCCCCCCCCCCCCCCCCCCCCCCCCCTACCCGGGCCCCTTAATAAGACGCGGGTATTTGAAAGTTAGAAGCCTAGTGACCACCAGTGCCCAGTTTAACAAATCAGGTCCCGTAAGTTATAAGTATCTCCCAGAGACTGGCTACCAGGCTACCAGGGGGTGGTACCGGCGGCGTGCGGCGGACAAGCCTGCTGGCTACAAGATATTAGGGGATATACTGAGTATTTGGGGAGCGTGTAATTTAACAATTTAACCAGGGTCCTTGTCTCATTGGGACTGCAGTTTAAACTTGTGTATTTCATTGATTAACTACCCGGCATGTCTTGTTTTACCCTGGCAGATCATTTAGCTTAAGATAAGAGGGGACACAAAGTTTAGAGGGGACACAAAGTTTAGAGGGGTGATTGGTGATGGAAGATAACATTCCCTCCTACTCCCCTTGATGTATTTCAATGTTGCTAATTTGTTAATGTTATCTGGAATGAGCAGGCTGAATCTCGTGTGTTGCCCGCTGTGATAATGTGCTGATTAATAAAAGAGAAAAAAGTTGACCCCCCCCCCCACCAGAAGAAGAAAGAGTGCGTAATTAACACGCTTTTAGAGGAGATGTGAAAGTAATACCAGTCACCAGATACCTGATCCCCCCGCAGATAGTCATGATAGTCACACGATTACAATATCGTCGCTCCACTGGTTTACACATCTAATTGTATCTAACACAAAGGAGTTCATATCAGCTTATTGCTAAGCAGGAGTCAATATTCTTCATGCAACTTAGAAAATTCTGTTGCTTTTGGCATGTTTTTAGGAAGAACAGACTGTATTATAAAGGAGTTCAGATTGTATTGACATGTCACAACAGCGGCTCTTTTATAACACACTAAAAACTATGAAAGTTACACAATTGTTATTGTAATTAAGAGTAAATAAAGGACCAGTAAGTACCAGGGGGATGGGGAGAGGGGAGGGGAGGGGGAGGGGGAGGAGGAGGGAGGGGGGAGGGAGGAGGGGGGATGGGGAGGGATTGAGGAATGTACCTGTTGAGATTTGCTTGTTGGATGCTCCTCTATACCATACAGTTTTACTCCTCCTGAAACATAAACACAATAAATCATTATTATATATATATCAAAATGTAAACAAAGATACAAGATAAGTACCTTACTATACCTTAGTAACTATAGCAACTATCTAGTAACTATAGCAACTAACAGACTTTACTTGTAAGATTACACCACATACAGTATACTAGACGTATCTGATTCTCTGTTTTACTGAGTAGTGACAACAGAATAGGGGCCCCCTATAATATAGGTCATTACAGTTTACATACAGTCTCCAGTGCACTGTATGTGTGAACACAGCAGCAATACACACACACAAACAGACAGTAGATACATAGATACAATATACTAGTATACACACATACCAACATACAAACAAAATATAATATACAAACACACTAACATACACACACAAACAAACATCGTGTACATTTGATTTATAAAGATGATTGCATGATAAGTTTTCAGGATGATGTAGTATTAGTAACAGTTTGATTGAGGAATTACTTACCAACTAGTTCGATGATAACAGCGAATATAACTCCAGATTTGAAATCATTTGTCACAGAGATTACTCGAGTTGAATACGATTTGTTTGCAAGCCACTCATTTACCCAATCAGTATACTCCTGGAAATAGGTATCGTCATGGCAAACCTAGTATAGTGTGACAAATAGAAGGTGATGCATTGAATTTGAACATTGATATTTCTGGAATTTAAAAATATGTTCATTTTTGTATTAAAAAATTTCCTTTGTAATATTTATGAGACACTTTTTTTGCACTATTTTACCAATAGAGCTCAACTGTATGGTTGGGACAGAAATCAAAGTGAAATCATTAATTATTGGGCAGAGGTAGTAATCAGAAGACATAACTATAAGACGAAGGAACGGCTTGCCATGTGGCTTGCCATGTGACTTGCCATGTGACTTGCCGCGTGATTTAAAGTTTTGTAACAAGATTTAGTGTCACTTACCCGCTGTTGATTCTCTGATGCAATATTTCTTTTGCGACGAAATGACAGACTGTTCATACCATCAGTACCTAGTATTATCCTACTATTTGGGAGAGCACAAATGAGTTACAAGAATATAGAATAAAGAATTCTAAGAGAAAAGTTGCAAGAAGTCTTGATAATATACCCTAGCAACATTAATGAATAACCAGGAATGTTCATGCAGTTATTCTTTGAAATTGACAATTCATATAAATTTGATAGCTGCATCGGCAAACTTATTAAATACGTTTTGGGAAGGGTGCATAATAGTCCTTATAAAAAATACCATCATTTGAGCAGGTAAAGTGCATGATGTGCTTTAATTAAAGATGATGAATGATGAACAAATAAAAACCAGTTCTGTGTTACAAGTTTCACTTACTGCAGAAAGATTAAAACGTTGAAATCGAATAGAATTTAAAATAAAACATGGCACATAAAAAAGGTTAATCAGAAATCAATTGTCTTGCGTAGTCTTAACTGCCCTCAAACTTTTTCTGTTCCATGCACGTTTTGCTTTTCTGTACTTTTTTTTTCGGTGTAATTGACAGTCATTTTCTAAGGAGCGTTTTGAACTTTGTGTAGAGTGCCCATCATCGCTTGACGAATTCATCCTCTCGGCCATGTCACTTAGTCTTGCACTTTGTCTTCGAATTTCAGCACTTTCAACCAATTCACGCTGAAACACTTCACTTTTAATCACTTCTTTTTGAACTTCAGTACTTTCGATCACCGTACTTTCAACTAGTACAGAAAATTCAATCACAGCATTCTTAACCTCAGCAGTATCTACCACAGCACTTTCAACCTCAGCAGTATCAACCACAGCACCTTCAACCTCAGCACTTTCAACCTCAGCAGTATCTACCACAGCACTTTCAACCTCAGCAGTGTCAACCACAGCACTTTCAGCCTCAGCAGTATCAACCACAGCAGTATCAACCACAGCACTTTCAACCTCAGCAGTATCAACCACAGCACTTTCAACCTCAACACTTTCAACCTCAGCAGTATCAACCACAGCAGTACAAACAACAGCAGTATCAACCTCAGCAGTACAAACAACAGCAGTATCAACCTCAGCAGTATCAACCACAGCACTTTCAACCTCAGCAGTATCAACCACAGCAGTACAAAAAACATCAGTATCAACCTCAGCAGTATCAACCACAGCACTTTCAACCTCAACACTTTCAACCACATCACTTTCGACCTCAACACTTTCCTGTTGAATTGGTGCAGTATCCGAGACTTCCTGAGAATTTTCAGTAACCAAATTTATTTCATTGTTGCTCAGCCAATTATCAGCTTCCTTTAAAAACTCATAATCAGAATCAAAAGAATTGTGATGACTGCTTGCTAATAAGGCTGACAACTTTATTAACTTTGGTGCTTTTGCTGGCTGCTCATGATCATCTTGTCTTGGTATAACATAGTTGTCTGTTTTCACAGGGAAAATTGTTTCTGTAACTGCATAATTTTCTGTTTTTTTAGTTATAATAGTTTTATTCACTAAGGCAGAACTTTCAGCATTCATTGCAACATTACTTTCACTGACTGAAGAAGCATTTTCTGCATTCAACGTGATTGCATTACTATTGGGTAGAGCAGGATTCTCAGCATTGGTTGGTAGAATTTCACTATTCAAAGAATCTTCCTTGGATTCATTTTGATGATTTTGGTTAAACACTTCTTTGATCTGGAGCTGAATGGAATGTTTATCATTGTTTTTGATAGTAGTAGTCTCAGTGCTTTTTGCTAACCCTACACAAGAATTGACATCAACTGAATTATCTCTGTTACCTGGAATCACACATTCATCTGTGTTGTCACTTATATCCTCAATTACAGTAAGGGGGTTGTTTGTGATGTCCGATAAGTACACTTCAGGGGTACCAGCATTATGATTAGAATGTTTTAAAGCCAGCAAACTGTCACAATTAACTGTTTCACTGAAAGGCATCTGACAGTCAGTTTGTACTGTCGCAGAACTGCTGCTTTCAGATCTGCTGACAAATAGTAGATAATCCCATGGGCAATGCTGAGGCATTCTCTTATAATTATTCTTCAGAAGTATAGTCACATTCAATAGTATATCATTAATGAATACCTTGTACTCATTCAAAACTCTGCATGTAAAAAATTCTTTAAGGAAAGCTTCTGTTATCCTGTCGATATCTGACGATGACGAAGTGTCAAGCGTATCATTGAAGTGGATGCAACAATGAAAACATGTGTCTCCAATGTTAAATATTCTGTTAAATGATTGATATTCTGGATCCTCCATTTAAGAGAATATCACACCATGGCCATACTGACTGAAAAATTTTAAAAGGTTATGATAATAATAATTATAAAAATTTTTTAAACAGTATGCACCACACTGCTCCCTCCACTGCACTAAAAGTTATACAATAAATTCTACAATTCTAATTTTGTATCGTGATGGAGACCGGTGTCCATATAAAACATTTACTAGGTTGCCGTTTGGTGTGAGCAATAGCGAACAGCACGAACACTCCTTTGCCCCGTCAACCTATATCTAATCTATTTAAAGAGTGACAACCATACTACACATGATTGAATTAGGATTCCTTTAAATATCAAATTGATTTATTGTAAACTTGTTTACTCTGTAATAAATGGCATAAAATTGAATTTTTGTTTAACTGAATTTTTGTTTAACTGAGTATGGGCAATTCTCATAAAAAGCGTCATTTACTCCCTCGAATTTTCAATCTCATATCATTTCATTTCAGTAAATAACAAAACGTTGATTCAAGCACCAATTGATTGATAAACGTTTGAAATTTACTGTGTCATCACTTTTAACATGAATAACTTAAAAACTGATTATCAATTTAAATAATTAATAAAAAAACAGGCTTTTTTCAGAGGTGTCAGCACTTTGTCCTGTCCGTGACGCCTGATTCTATCCTATGTAGTACCGTTATTTATGGTCCAATTTCAATGGGACAAGAACTAAAATATTTCTCCTTGGCCAATTTATCTATGTGACAAATATGAATTAATTTGTACCTAAAATGTTGTTGCAATTAAATTAATTGTTGAGAATAATCAAAGGTGTCGTCACGTCCGTGACGTCCGTGACGCCTGAAAATGAGTCACGGACGTGACAATGTCTTATTCTGTCACGTCTGTGATGCATCACGGGCATGACTATGGCTTATTTTGTCGTGTCTGTGACACTTTTTTTAGAGTTTCTAATTGAATTCAAGCATTAGAACTTCCTTGATACCTCAATTAGAGTGTTCCAATTGATTCTATCAGGTATACTAAAACCTCAATAATCATTTGGGAATACAAATTCAAAGATTCAGAACCCCTAAAGTGGCAAGTCACAAAGTGCTATGATAACACAATATCTATGGTACAAAAGTGCAAAAAGCTTTTAAAGCGAGGAACAAAACATAGAAACATGGAATGTAACCGGATAGGAAATGGAATTATCACATCAATGTACAATGTAACAACTATAACACTCATTTGTGGAATTTAGGAGGGAGGTGAATGGTGTTCAAGGTTGCCAAAATCGATTAAATTTTGTGTTCAAAGTTACCCAGTGCCGTTAAAAGTTACCCCAGGCTGTTCCAAGTTACCCCATGTTCCAAGTTACCCCATCCTACCCTACTGTGTACGTGAAAAGTATTTATCAGTATGTATCACATACATAAATTACATACAGTTTTTAGATTTCAGCTACTCTAAAAGTGCATACAGACGGGACAAAATAAGAATTGTCCTGTCCGTGATGCATTACGGACGTGACTATTCTTATTCTGTCCTGTCCGTGACAAGTCACGGACGTGACTATTCTTATTTTGTCCGTGACCAGTCACGGACGTGACTATTCTTATTTTGTCCTGTCCGTAACCCGTCACGGACGTGACAAAAACGTCACGGACGGACACCCAATTTAAACACTGATTGGTCAATTTAGCAGCTAAAAAGTCTGCAAACTGCTGACACTACAATGGTGTCCAATTGAGATCTTTATAAGCTAACGCATGATATAACTTTTATAGAAATTGGAGGAAAAAATTTCTATTAGTGATTTGTGACGCTTTTTATGAGAATTGCCCGTATACACATAATGTAACAATGACCCTATATAAAAACAACCCTTCAAAAACTCAATATTTTCCCTATAGTGCCCAAGTGCCGTAAGCACAAAAGAGTCAAGGACATGGCATGGGTATATTCAGCAATCAAACTTTTTACAGTAATTGCACTTCTGCAATGGCCTTGTATTCTCGACCACCGGAGGTATGGGCCCACAGGCTACCATGTTCCTTAAACGAGTGGCAACACTTCTGGCAGCCAAGACCAGCCAGGACAAAAGCCTCATCATGGCAAATCTTAGACGTCGTTTGCGATTTGAGCTACTCAAAACAGTTTTGATTGCAGTGAGAGGACACAGAGGACGGTATTATGAGAAAGCAATACCCGTTAACGAACTGGACCTAAATCTTGCACACACCACCAGCGATGAAGACAGGGGTGATGATGTTGATGATGAAGATGAGGAAGTTGATGATGAGGTTGAGAATGTAGAGGAAGAGGTTTCAGAAGAGTGAGCTGAAAAGAAGACAAGATTCTATTCTAATTTACTGATTATTATATTTATTGAAATAAACATATAATATCCATTACTCCAGGAGTGATGACAGGATATATTAAAAAAAAGTAATTGCACTTCTTACTGCTGCTAACTGCTGCTATCGCCCGCTCGCGCCATTTTCAGCAGTTAGCAGCAGTTAGCAGCAGTCAGCAGCAGTCAGCAGTAGTCAGCAGCAGTTAGCAGCAGTTAGCAGCAGTAAGCAGCAGTTTCTTGGCACTTTAGTATCCGTGTGGCTAGGAACCTACAATATTTTGCTGAAAAACTATGTTTATGCTGAAAACCGAAGTGATACATAATCTGTATTGTCTTTTCTGGGAATTTCTTTTATATAAATGTCGCCATAATTTGGTCATGGTATGGAATGTATCAAAGAACTTATAAGAACATTATCCATATGCTTTCACGAACAAGGTTACATGCAAGCACAAGGGCTCTGGATAGAGCAAACAAGAACGTACAAATTTCTTCGGAATGACCATTGCTATGATTAGAATGTTTTAAAGCCAGCAAGCTGTCACAATTAACTGACTGTGTCTCACTGAAAGGCATCTGACAGTCAGTTTGTACTGTCGCAGAAATGCTGCTTTCAGATCTGCTGACAAATAGTAGATAATCCCATGGGCAATGCTGAGGCATTCTCTTATAATTATTATTCTAAAGTATAGTCACATTTAATAGTATATCATTAATGAATACCTTGTACTCATTCAAAACTCTGAATGTAAAAAATTCTTTAAGGAAAGCTTCTGTTATCCTGAAAAAAAAAATATCTGATGATGACGAAGTGTCAAGTGTATCATTGAAGTGGATGCAACAATGAAAACATGTGTCTCCAATGTTAAATATTCTGTTAAATGATTGATATTCTGGATCCTTCATTTAAGAGAATATCACACGACACACTATGGCCATACTGACTGAAAAATTTTAAAATGTTATGATATACGCGACCACCACCCTGATTCGCAAATCCCCGGTCACGCGATCACACTCGCAACGTGTTGAACGCTGAATAGGACATCCGGCGACGTCACCAGAGCTCAAGCCCCCCGACCAGGCCCTACACGGAACAATACAGTGCATCACGTGCAATTGGATCCAATCAAGATGAGCCGCGCAACCATCGCAGCATCTCGATCCGGCATCACCCCCCGAACCCCAGCAGGCAGCTAGGCCAGAGGCCCACAAAATAGAAGGATTCCCTGTTGACGAAAATCGAAGCGAAAATCATGCAACCCCACGCTTCCGAGGACGCCGAACACGACAAAACTGGCCATAATCATCACACTCAAGGGCAAACTGCTCCAAAATGCACTCAAATGTCATAGATGCCATTACAAGCCAAGCGCCGAGCGGCCCATTAATTACTGAATATACCCATGCAATGTCCTTGACTCTTTTGTGCTTACGGCACTTACGGTCGCGTGATGGGATTGGCGGTCGGGTGACTTCGGTTGTCCCTTGTGTGGCACGGGTGGCTGCGGCTGATCGGCTCTTGATTGGGCTAGGGTTAGGGTTAGGGTTAGGGTTAGGGTTAGGGTAGGTAGTGCGCCATCGACATTGAGCCGCGCGTGCCGACTGTAGGATGGTTTTTTAGCGCTTATTTCGGCCAGCACAATTTTCTTCAAAGAAATAGATATTAAGTATTCTTTCCGACCTCCGATTGCAACAAAAATTGGTAAGATTACTCATAGACTTACAAGGAAAGTGTCCGAAAAGTTTAAAGCATATCCAACCATCAAACATTATGTTACAGCTAAAACCAGCGTATTTTGCCCCATTTTGATCACTATATCAACTCCGATATCCACCAAATTTTTCGGACAGTTGTGAAAGCCCTATTGGAAGGTCGTTGCCAATTTTCAGAATGATCTCATTTAAGGAACTGAAGATATATCCAAATAATACGACAAAAATCAACGAATTTGGTCGAATTTGGTCAAATTTGGTCAAATTACGCGACTTTTACAACTAATTTTGCTCCAAAAGCCGCGCACCATCAAATATGGCACCTAGGCGAAACTCACTGATCTTTCCAAAAAGGTATGACAAATTTGGTATTGTGAAAATTCTCACAGTCTCTAGAAAACAATGGTACAAAAATTTGTAAAATCCGAGCAAGTTTATTTTTATGGTGCACCCCTAGTTAGGGTTAGGGTTAGGGTTAGGGTTAGGGTTAGGGTTAGGGTTAGGGTTAGGGTTAGGGTTAGGGTTAGGGTTATAGTAGAGGCTCTTACGGGCTTTGTCTGCTCGATACACTAAAATCACCAGACCCATCTTAAAAGACGTATTTTTGACCGTAGAATCGATTAAAAGTGGTTAGAAGTGTTTATAATGGGGGTTACCTGGTTTTATTTTGAAAAAACCGATTTTCGGCCCCAAAAATGGCCATTTTTTGAGGTTTTTAAGAAATTTCGACAGGTTAATTCAATCAGAAAGCTTAGATATTTTGGGTTCTTGTACATTTTTATTTGCCGCACTAGCTTATACTAATATAATAAGCACACACAAGAGTTTACCTGGTCAAAATTTTAAAAAACCTCCCAAAAAAAATGTTTTTTTGCGCGCTAAATTTTTTCGGCTCTTTATACATCCACAATGAAATATTTTTGCCCACAAAGTGCTTTAATACAGTTTAATAATAGTATTTGATAGTTTTCCAGCGTCAAAACAAGTTTTGAAAGCGGAAGAAAAAATTATATTTTTCGTGGTGCTGAGCACTTTGAAAATTTTTGAATAAAATCGAGCGCTACCGTAAAATTTTAGTAACCCTTCCCTGAAACTCATTTAAGTTTTTGTACCGGTAGTGTTTTGACCTTTTCTGAAGTTCATGCCTTCTCTGGCTTAATTTCATTTAATATTGTTTAATACAGTAAGTGTTTTATAATAGTAGAGTGCCATTTCTAATACTTCAATGTTATATTGTTGAGATACCTTTACTTGGCTGATTACCTTTTGTTAATACAATTTCACCAATTTAGTATTGCATTGCTTATATTTGGATTTATAATTTATCGATTGTGGGTATGAATAAACTTTTGGTTCACAATCAACAATATAATGTCTACTGTGTGGTACCCTTACAAGATTAATTATAGATATTTTGACAGGAATGCCTGACTTAAACCCCCTCATCCATCACTCATTCCGTGTTACCTTTTGGATGTGGAGGAACCCTACCACAAACTGAAATTTTGTAAAGGTACCCTTCAGTACATAAATAGAGCACTGTAAATAATATAGATTAGTTACTGCTATCTTCTCAATGCGAATAAATGTATAGATGCTGCATTGAATTCATGAAGATATCATTCGTTTTGAGCAATCATTCCCTTAGCTCCCCCGTTCTTTGATTGTTTCAAAGAAGTAATCAAACTACAATATGTATTGTTTAGTTACATCTATTGCTTGTTATTTAAGCCATTTCATCTCTAGTAGATTCAAATAATTTCTGTAATTCTGAATTATGTTGCTGAACAAACTTGACAATCACCATTAGAAAGAAGGTGACATGTTTATGGACCCAGAACTAGCTGAGACAGTTCTCTGTGTACATGCGAATCACTTCAAGAATCTTCTTGATGAAAGAAGCTTGTGTGGTTTGTTAAAAGACTTCAATCCGCTCACAGCCATGCAGATTAAGACGAATTTAGATCGACATTATTTTGATAACAATGAAAACTCAAATGGTTTGATTTTTAGCTAAATTACCATAATTATTATAATTAATTAAGTACAGGCTGACAATGTTTCATTTCACAAACTGTATATGAATAATGTAAGCTGTTCAAACAGCTTTGTTAGATGATGTTATCGATGCTGTATAAGTTGAAACCTTTTGATGATGAGAGGTACATGAACAAACCTACACTAAACAATACTACATTCCAGCTTGAAACGAAATGAGTGGAGTTGAACGACGCCCTGTTTATCGAAACTACATCAATCAACTTTTCAACTATGCAGGTTATTAATGAAATGAAATGAAATACTACTACTTTGTCGGAACTAAGTCCGATCTACGCCAGATAACCCCCTCCATATATCCCTGTCCCGCAACCAGGGTTCACAGTTCCTCTTTTGAGTTTGTCCCAATTTCCTTCAGTAACATAGACAAGTAGCTTTGTCTTGGTCGGCCTTGCTGTGCTCTACTATGCATAGGTTTCCATAAGACTAAATCACTGGCAAGTAGCTCAAGATGTATGATGCAGTGTCCCGCCATTTTTAGTCTCCTGCTTAGTAACTTGTTTGACAGCCTTGGTAGACTACCATACAAAGTTATATTGCTGACCTTGTCCTTCCATGAGATACCCAGCACCATACGTAGCATCTTTGTGTATGTCCCGTCCAATACAAATGAAACAAATTATTTTTATCCCGCTTATATCAACAATCAAAATTAAAAACTTATGGACGTATATCACTCATTATTATGTATCACTCTCTAACATCTTGTCCTCACTACAAATATTACCACTTCTGATATATACATGACTGACATGTTTTAACTGGAGAAAGGGTTCGCACAGTGGTAGTTTTATAAACCACTTTTAATTTATTGACCTATTATACCTAGTGGTAGTTTTATAGGACGCATTTAATTTATTTACTTATTATACTAAGTATTTATTTTTGGTGACTGTATCACCCAGTTTTAACATTTGATAATTGTACAGTTTATTGACGACACATTGACTGAATGTTATTTTATATTCTAATTTATATTCTAGATATTTTATTTATTTTTCAACAGACGACAACTTCCTGTTTTTTCTTCTATATTAGTTACTCATATCTCTTTTACAGACTTTTTTACAAGGACATTGACAGATGATACTCACATTAGGCATTCATTATTGCATCTAAATTATTTCACTTGCATTAGGTTTAGAAATTTATTCTCTGGTTAACAGATTTCAAATGTTTAATTAATTTGTAGTATGACAGTAAGGTATATAAGAAGTTATTTAATTTTGCTTGGGCTATTATATTGACTATTGAGGTTTAATGATGATATGGAATTTGAATTCTATATAAATTTACACTATGTGGTTGGGGCATTTTGCATAGTAAATATGGTTACTACTCCTATATATCATATTATTTGATTGGTATTCGATTTCTGATTATTTCTCTAGGAATATGATTATTATATCTCAATTTGGCTTTAGGTAGGGTGCCCCGCTAAAAGAACTGGATTCTTCCAGGAAGCATCCCGTGCACAGACCTTGGTCTACATATATAATATTAAATTATTAACCATTCATTCTGTATGTGCACGAAAATTTATTTCAATCAATAATAATGTTTTTTTGTGTCTTCTTTGGCTCAGGCATGGCTCCAGCTCAAAATCTTTGGGTGGGTGCAGCTTGGCGCACGGCGGGGGGGGGGGGGGGGGGGGGGGGAGTTGAAGCCCCCTGGAAAATTTTGGAATTTTACTCTCCTAAACGTGTTTTAATATCTTCAAAACAACCTCAATTGATTACAGAAGTCAATTGACCCTTAGTTTATACAAAATTTGACAATTTTTGTGTGAACATTTTCAAATCGTTTGGGTGGGTGCAACACCCTTTGGGTGGGTGCGCACCCACCCGAACCTACATGGTGGAGCCATGCCTGCTTTGGCTATCTGTTTCATTTCCAAGACCAACCGCTGATGGATAACTCGATCTTCAGGTGATCGATCTGGAGAGATGAAAACAGTCTTATGATCTTCACATAGTCTCAGCTTTTTGGCATTTACTAATATCTGATGAACGGTTAGTTAGAATTATCTAGCGAAACTTTGACTGGTCTCGTCTTGTTGGCTGATTTTCTCCCAACCCAGATAGCTTCAAAACGTGGTTTTTCTTCAATCTGCTGAAAAATCACGGTAACTTTATTGCACAGTTCCTCTTCATCAGTCTCCTTCAAACCAAAGATGAGCACATTCCTACTGCGATCCTCTTCCGATACATCATTCTGTACAACCTTTTTAAAATTCTCTTCTGCAAGCACAGGTGCATTTTTAGTCACAGCTTGACTGTATGACTTCATCTCAGCTTGGACAGTGTCTTGAACGGCGGTCTTGACGGTGGAGTGCATGGATTCCAACTGCTTCGATTTAGTTTCCAGAAGTTCAGTACTTTGCGATCGGATAAGATCGCTCTTCAACTCCTCCATATCTTTCTTGTTATCCAGAAACGTACTTACATGATTATCGGTAGTCTGATACACAGAATACAAATTATAAATGTTTTACTGAAACTGACTTCACTGGCTTTTTGAACGTTTCAACTGAAAACTCAGATTTATTGTCACAGTTCGTAGCTTACGCGAGTTCAGTGATCCAACCGTTATAGACCTCATACTCTTCAGTAATGTAGGTAGAATAAACTGACAATCTTTGAAGAGTATCCATTTCCTCCATCGTTTACTTGTACTTGTATAAAGTAAAAACACAGTACCAGCAAAATGGCAGTTGTAATGTAGCGATAAAATAGAGATAAGAGCTAGATTATCAACACGTAAAAAAACTGTAAAACTGTATCATAATATTATTATGCTTTTAACATCATCTGTTGTGATATACATGACAAAGGGTTGGAAATGTACAGTAACCTTACTATATTGCAATTACACAATATTATGTGAACGACCCCTAACCCCTTATAGGCTCTATAAGTGTTGAAAAATGATAACTGCAGGATTTCAAAATGTACAAGGCATCATATCAAAGATTGCATATGCCCGAAAGAAGGACAAATCCAATTCGGCTCTCTGGATGTATGGAAAGCTCTCAACCTTCCAGAAAAGGACTGTTCAAAGGAACACTTAAATCCCTCCGACAGGTAATTATTATAAATAATAATTTAGTCTACACTTCATTATGTCAAACCACCTACTATAATGAAGAACTAAAATTGTTGTGTTAACCAAGTTTAATGTGACTCAATTTTGGTGGAACTTTAGAATTTGGACGTTATATCTATCATGTTCATCTTAAATCTCATATTATATACTCAATATTCAATTAAACAGACAAAGATAACCTCTCTAGGCCCTCTGGTGGTGACGTATAAGTGCTTTCTCAGTACTTTCTCTCGCTTTTGGACAAATCCAGTGAGTTAACTTTTTATCAGTGGATTTTGACCGGGGCCGGCGAGCCCCAATATAGCCGGGGCCGGGGCTGACCACTGAGAATTGGCCGGGGCCAGGGTTTACCTTTGGCGAATTGCCAATTTTTGGCCGGGGCCGGGAAGGGCTGGGGGTTGTGATTTTGGCCGGGGCACCGGGCGACCACTGCTTTTTATGTCACGATTTTTAAAACTTTATTCATAAGTTTATGAAACATCAAAACTTTGCATGCTCTGCATTATGTAAAGTCAGTCATGCACTAGAGCACAGTTCACATATAATAACCTAATCCAGCCTAGGGGAGGGGGTTTGAAATCGCTTGTGCTAGAGTGATTTATACTCAATAGCTATGTGAAAAGTGGCTCAAGGAGGGGAGACCGACGTAAACAATTTTGAATTGGTAGAAGTTAAGTTTAGGCTTTAATAAAAAACTATTTAAAGAATATCATTCTTTTACCACAGACATAAGACTTTGCCGTAGGGTATACAAAAATGTGACCATTCATCGATTTTCAGAGTGCTGTATCTGTACCCGAATAGAAATAAAGGATTTAAATGACACAGTTTTCTTCCGCTCTGAAAGTGAACGAATGACAAAACAGTCTAGAGAATTCCTCGCCCTGCTGCAGAAGATCAATCCTGGGTTGTGCTCACCAAAGCAAACATCTTTTTTGTGTATTCAGTGTCTTAACTATGTAAAAGACAACTATAACAGGGTGAGTGGTTTCCTCCTGTTTTACTAACATTTAAAAACATTATTATTCAAAGGTAAATAGACAGCGAGTAGTAATTTTTAATCCATTTCTATCGGATTTGCAAACTTTTAAAATGATATAACACTTGTACGATCTCAAACTTATGTGATATGATACTGTTGATATAAATGTGGGAAGTAATAAAGTATTTGCAGGTGTACAGTGCTGTTTCTGAAATTGACGAATCCTCTTGTGATGAAGATTGAAGAAGCTATTGCCATCCAAGTGGAAAAAGTCCCGCCTTTGTCACCCTCCTCGAATAGAACTAAGAAAATGTGGAGACTTTCTTCATTTAGTTCCCAATCAAGTGGACCAGATGTTGATTTGTTTGAAATGGACTGAGACTTGTGTTTCAAATGCCAGGTTGAACAGGTTTGTGTGAAACTTGCTCGCAAATATAATTATTATACATATTATCTCGATTTAATTTTAAGAGTATGAGAGGTTATTCTTCTTTAACAATACGAATTTCCCTAGACGTTAGAAACGAAAAAGGATAGTCTGATTCAAGGAAAAGATAAAAGTTTCTTCGTCGATTTCGCAACATACTATCTGTGGACATCTACAGAAATCGTCAGGATCTGTGCAACATCGATGTTAATCCTAATTCGCACATGAACAAGTGCCCTGTTCTTAACCCTGAGAGTCTCGGAAAATATCTCTATAGCAAGCTAGGTAGATATCACAAAACATGTCGTTTGAGGTACAGCAACTCGAGGGTGAAACAATTGAAGGGTAAATTATCTGAAGCTGTAAGTTTAAAACCTGTCTCTAAGGCAGGTTTTAAAATGGAAAGACACGTGTCCACGCACGACAACACCAATGCTGCATTAATGAGTGCAGGTATTGATACGGACCTTTTAACGGACCAGAACTGTACCTCGTGTCTGACCTGAAGCTTAAGTACAATGACTATGTGACGTCTAATTTATCTGAGAACGCTGCAAACTCCAGCAATGTTTAATCTGATCACATCAGTTCTCAGAAAGACAATGTCGGTAAGACGAGTTTGTTTCGACAGCAGCATCGTATCTAATCTTGCCGCAACAATAGATGCGGATAGAGATGATAACACTTTAACAAAGACAGCACTCATAAAGGAGATTAGAAAAGAAATCTTTCAATGTAGAAACGAATTCTATCAGAAGATTTATCTTCAAAAACATGTTCGATTTACTGATCGGTGGCATCTGTAGAAATATAGTGTTTATGTGGATTAATCTGTTAAAGCAGGGCTATTGTATCATTTTAACATTAACTTTGCATAGTGATGATACGTTTATTGTGTCTCTTGTGATTATCTATTTCTACAGTGTTACTATACGGTACCACGAGGTTTCTGGCGCAGTGACGCGCTTTCGAGCAAATATCGTGCTAGATACGTCACGCGCCGCAACCGAATCAGATTTAAGTGCACTTTTTCCATTGTAAACACTACATACGACGCGCAACACGTTCTACGAGGTCGAAATTTTCGAGGTCTCTAACACCAAGATGGAGCAATATTTAATCGATCTGACACTTTCTAGGGCTTAAGCAACCTAAGAGAAATTAGGGGAACAACTCAGAAAAAATTTTTAGTTGATATTCCGGTGTCTGTAGATGTCCGAAGTTTTGGCAGTAAAGTGCTCACAACACAGCTTCTGAAGGCTCTAGAAGGTTCCCGATACCGTCAGAGTGTTCAGTACACTCCATACTATCATATAGGAACCCTAAAAGAAGTCCCAGGGCTCGTGCAGAAAAGCGTGATATTTGCCCGTAACAGCCTCTACTATTAGGGTTAGGGTTAGGGTTAGGGTTAGGGTTAGGGTTAGGGTTAGGGTTAGGGTTAGGGGTTAGGGGTTAGGGTTAGGGTTAGGGTAGGGGTAGGGTAGGGTTAGGTTAGGGTTAGGGTTAGGGTTTGGGGTTTGGGTTAGGGGGTTTTTGGTTGGGTT